TAGATGTAAAAACCCACAATCCCTTGCAGCTGGGGAAACAGGGCAGGCTGCCAGAATGCTAAAAGTGCATACAAATACGGGCCTCTCCCTTTAAGGTGGCTCGATGTGCCGCTCATAAATGGACGTCGGTCGGGGAGAGCGGAGCAGCGGCAGCCTGTTTGGGAGGCTGCCTGGTGGAGAACCAGCTGGTTTGGGCCCTTCGGGAGAGACTGCGCTGTGGGGGAACCGGTTTTCACAATGAAAAGGGGATTTACGAGCCCTGACCTGCTCTCGCTACCTCCCCCATTTTCTCCAAATCATAGCGTTGCTCTCTGCACCAGAACGTCTAATCATCAGAACCACATGGTTGGAGACACATTAGGATGTTAGAAAGAGACGGATTAAAGGCCTTAAACATAGACTTTCTCTGAAGCAGGTGATGCATAAGTGCATAAGCAAAAGTTGGTGGTTATTCCTTCTTTTTTTTAACAGAGCAAAAGGTTTCAAATCATGAGGTGGTGTTGTCTCACCTGCAGAGAATAAAAGACACTATTTGGATTGCCGTAACTTCCCCACCGCTGCTCCTCCGAGCACAGCTCGATGTTACGGTTACTGTTGGTGTCTTCAGGTCCTGGAGCACCTGAACACCCCCCCCCCCGACCCACTCCTGGACGTCTGTCCAAAAAGGGTGTTTTGAACATGGGCACCCATGACTGAGCTCCCTCTGCTGGCATCCAGCCACAATGGTCTCACTTCACCGGCCTCGCTTAATGAATATGCCCATCATGCTCATAGCAGTGCTACTTAGTAATGAGGCTTAACAGTAGAACTCCAGCCAAACACAGGAACGGTCAAAGAGGAAGTGGAAAAGCCCACCAAAAGAGTATCGTGTAATAAAAGATAAGAGGCATAAATGAATGGGACGGATGAAAGCCTTCACTCCCGTTAAGCAGAAGCACGGCCCATTAAATCGGCTTGGATTTAAAAGAAATATGCCCGTACACTCCATCTTTAATTGATTAGGAAAGTCACTAGGTGTTCAAACACAACACGGAGACATCTATTAGAGATGCTGAGCAAAACAGAGCCCTTTGTGTTCTGTGTTGTTGGGCCAAGGCCAGAGCGACATGCTAGAATAGACTCCAAAGCAGCCTTTCATATCAGATCCCAGGCTGGGTAATGATGTGGGGTCCGAAACCTAATTCTATGACAACAGCTGGGGCCTCCCATCCTCTCACAATCAAGCCATGCGATACACAACCTTGAAAGTTTCAGATGGACACCAAGGCCCCCCTCCTGGGGCCCCGGGCATATTAAAAGTATTTATTGTCTTTGCAGACATGGATATATTGGAGAAAAGAAATCAAACACAATCTTTTCATAGTTGGACTGATGTTGAACACACAATCCCACTGTGTTGAGCAGCGTGTGTCTGGGGGAATGGGGATAATGAAACACCTTGTATGAAACATCAATAATCATCAGTGATGCATCTCCAGCTTTGACATGAGAAATTATGGCTGCGACTCCTCCTCCTCCTCCTCCTCCTCTCTCTCTCTCTCTCTCTCTCTCTCTCTCTCCTGGTGGTATATGGGAAAATCCTGTTACAGACATGTTCATCAAGGCCATTTATCTTTCCAATTCAGCCATCTAATTTAATTAGGTAAACTTACAATCCCTGTCTTTGTCATCATAACCGCTTCATTGGGTTTAAGGACATGAATGGAGCATTCATTGAGGAAACCTATAAATACAGCGTCCCAGTGAAAGTGGAGCTCGCCCACTTTCAACAAATGTATCTGACTTGACATACTTTATGATTAGTCGGTCTCCAGTATATAAATGACGGGGAAACTTTCTTACGTCTTTGTTTTTAATTTCTAATTGTCTTTAATGGGGTGCAATCCACCACGCGGTTTAAAAATAATCATTGTAACAACAGAGAAAATGTCTTGAAACAACTAAAGCATGCATTCAGCGGCATAACTCGGTGAATAATGTTGACACAATGAAAACCAAGTGTTTACTCGAGCCTGTAAATTATAGATTAAGTTGGGGGGGATGTTAGCTACACTTGAAAGTCTTGGAGTACAATGGAGAGCTGTAGATTACTCAAATTAGATGTACGAAAATGGTTTTCATATGTGAGACGTTGACTCGGCGTACCACTGCATTCCACAGCCAATTGGTGGAATGTCAGCTTAGCTTCAAATGCATGTGCTGAATTGACTTGAAATACTCAACACAGCAGGATTGCGATTTACTCTACAAGCCGAATCTTTCAACACGTCGTGTTGTTACTGAGTATTTACTTTGCACTAAAATAAAAACCCATGTCTTCATTTTAATTTAATCCCAGTTAGTTTTTCCGTCGCACCAAAACCTTATCGGGACATGGCGACTGCCACCCCGCTGTCTGGAAGTTGTTCTCTAGCAGAAGAAAACCACAGTGTTCTCCAACAGCTTTTCATGTTGGCATGCGTCCATCCTCTGCACATGAGTACATGAGCTGCCTTTGTTTCCCTGGCTCTGTATCAGGTTACTAGGCATGGCTGCGCCGTGTGTTTAATGGAAATGCTATGCAGGAAAAGGCCATGTGGCAGTCTTGGATATATGTACATCCGTAATGGGATACTCGTGAGCTCCTCTTAGAGTAACTGTTTGCCTTATTAGGCTGTCGTCCTGCGACTGCAAACAAACTAGTGTGCTCAGTGAGATGGAGGGGATTCCTGAGGCCGGCGTGCCGACTGGATACTGTATACATTACCGTACCTCCGGCTCCAGGACAGCACCGTGATGTATGTTCTACTGCAGAGTTGCAGGCCATCGTGCTGTAAGTGCTTTGCTGAGATGAAATATGGAACGTGTATTTATTATTTGCTGGCAGCAGCACACGAGGACATGCTCCGTCTCTTGACCATCACAGTTTATATGAGACATCATAATTTGTTGCCTGAGGTGGACGCTTCTGTTTGGGTCACAGGGCAGGCAAGGCAGTGCTGATTAGCTGATGAGAATGAAGCACTGTTTTTTTAATCATTGGCTCTGACTCACCGTGGTCACTTACAAGCTATGTTTTCTCCCCTGCTGGAGGACAGTAGTTGCATGAACAGCGTCCGCATTACATACAGAGGATTTTAAAGCCACACACACATGCAGCCTTAGAATCTCTCATTATAGAGGCGTGGCCGTTTGTAATTTCCCAGTCAGTGGATTTTCCGTAGAGAACGCGTGCCAGCAGAGAGACTTCTCTCTTTATTGCTGGGACTCATGGGAGCCACTGTGCTGCTGGCTGAGGGGCTGCATGTGTGTGCAGCATGGGCCTGTAGGGGATGAGTGTGGAGCTGGGTGTTCATAAATCCTGGCCAGCACTCCGACTCCACAGCCCACCCTACCCTCTCTCACACACACACACACACACACACACACAGAGCGGGGCTCAGACATAGAGGCCTGCAGGCCTTGCCAGGCTCCCCAGACAGAGCTTTTTATCTTCAGCCTCTCTTAGCTCTACACTGACCCACGGCACCCTGAACTAATCTTAATGGTTGTTGGAGGACGTGAGGTGATCACGCTCCCCTGACCTTAGTGTTGTGCTGAAAAGAATGTACCAAGTTTTAGGTCTCAGGGCTAGTGTGGGCCACCCATGACGTAACGAGTCTGAACAATTGTGTTCACTTGCATATAGGGGAATAAATTCAAGCAATGGGGTTCGATTATTTTTACTTGTTTTGATACAAAAAAAGGAAAAAAGTAACAAAATCCTGAATTTTTCTTGTTTTCTCTTGTTTTAAGAAAATGTATGACCAATATAAAGTCACCCAATACTAAAGGAAAAGCTACTTTTTATTTATTTATTATTTTAAGACAGATATAGTGAAAGTAATCTGTTGGCTTTTGTTAACAGGACCATACTAATGGTGTTAGATTTTACCAATGTCACAAAAAATGTTTTCTTCACATTGCAGCCCACAGTTTTCCATTCGTCTTTAGTTTGATGTTCCGTCTTTGAGAGAGAGATTGTCTCCGTTGCATTAAGAATCAACTTGCAGAGACTTCAAAGTTGATTCGTAAGGAAATCCATTACAGACTCACGGCTGGTTTTATTGTGAAGTTGCGTTATCCGTGGTACTGCATATGCTGACAAAAGCGGATGGTGTAGTTTGGGATGCTGCAAACTTCAAATGGTAACTATCAGCAAGCAAATGGCTGTGAGGTAAAGATATATTCACTGTAAAGGTTGCGGTTCACCAGTTGTCTCACAAACCTTAAAATGTCACAGCATTGTTAAGTTGATGTTCAGAGCCCAAGTCAATGTCACCTGTGGACATAAATAACGCTGTTGTGTTGGCCTATCCATACAGAGCCAGTTGAAAGTTCAACGTGTTGACTTTTATATCTTTCTCAAAAAGGCAAAGGAAACCAGCGTGTGCCTGGGAAGTGAAATTGGAAAAAAAGAAATGTTGGCAGTGATTTAAAACATGTGGTTTGTAGCATAGAAAACCGGTGCTGCTACGGTCCTTTAAGCTGTCATCTTACGTTCATAAACAACTCGCAAAGTCAAATTAGAAAGCGGAGGACAAAAACACCGCACCGAAATGATGTGTTGCATTTTGTGACTTGTGCGATTCGTTTTGTTTAGTTTGTGCGGCCCACAAAATGGGCTTCCTGCATGTAATGCACGGTGGTCTGGTGATTTCAACATGATTTATTTGGAGACGGCGGTCTGTTATCAGCGGGTTTGTCAAGCGTAAATTAATCACGTGAAGATCACAGTTGACACTGGGAAGTCCCGTGAGGCTGCTCATGTGGTTTAGCCGGTGTTGTGAGTGCACGTCTATGCCGTGAGACTGCAGTATATTACATTGACTTTATGGCATTACGTAGTACACCTTTGCAGAACCCGGTGTTTGTCTCTGAGATTAAAGATGCTGTAAAACTCTCTGTGCGTGACTTGTGGAGTCTGTAGTGATTGATTGGCCTCGTCCTTTAACAAACTCTCTTTGTCTCCTCTCCTGCAGCCCCATCCACAGTGTCCATAATGCACCAGATCAGTCGCACGGTGGACAGCATCACCCTCTCCTGGTCCCAGCCTGACCAGCCCAATGGAGTCATCCTGGACTATGAGCTGCAGTATTATGAAAAGGTACCAGCGATGCAGCAACAAGTTCGTCCTCCGAGCCCTCACTGATCCATATTAACGCAACTTTCCTGAATAAGCGATGCGCTAATGGTACTCTTTTGTTAAGTCGTACATTTAAATTCAGAGTATCCCCTCACGCTCGTTTGCATAACAGCACATCCTAGGAGGCGTGCAGACAGAGCTTCTAAACATTGCTTAGAACTTCTGCTCGTTCTCTTTCAATTATAATCACGGTTAGTCACTGGAGAAGGAAACCGCTCTCAGCCCTGCAGCTGGACCGCAGGGGATTGATGAGCAGAGACTTGCGGTTGAAACAATGGTGTGCCGACTGCTGTAAAAATAGTATTGGAAAGGGCAAGCTCCCGCCGAATCGGCGCACTTTCTCACAAGAACACTCGCAGTCGCAAATACCGTGTTGACTCGATGCACAGTGATCACTACAAAAACAACAAACGCACACAGCCATTGGCAGACGTAGGAACACAATCACACACACACACAGCGTTTGACGAGCTTTCGTCTACACGATGAGCCGTTCCACTTTTGAGTCTAATTCCCTTTTCTGACACTGCTGGAGAGAGCTGTCAAAACAATTGTCCCGGCCCCTGCTGCGGCTCAGAAGTGCAGCGGGTTGAAGGGAGCAGCTAAAAAAGAGAGTCTCGGTCCTCCGCTGCTCTCAGACCTGTCAGGAGTGTGCGGCAGTGAAATGTAGCTCTGATCATCAGAAGGCGCGGCTCACAAACGACGCCTGACCTGAAACTGCCACCAAATCTACCTTTTTTTTTAAACTGCATCTGTGCCGGATGTGTGCCTTTCCCAGCCCTGCAGATTCATCAAACACAATGCCGGAACATCATTCAGATTATTCCATTGTGGTTACTGTTGGCGTTTGAAAGATAAATGTCGAGATGAGTGTCGCTGCTTTTTCTCGGTACCATGAATCTCAATATTTCAGTTACAGTGCAGAACAACATCCCAATCGAAGGTTTGAACCGTGTGCTGTTTGGTGCATTTTCTGCTTAGTAACAAGGCACTTAAAGTATTATTTACTTATAAATGGCTAAATGATCTATAAAATGACTAAATACCTAAATAAAGTGCTGTGTTTGCTGATACTGTTGCATCATTCGTTCTTCCTGATCTACTATGTAATTTATTCACGTGGCACTTCATAATTGCTAGCCTTTGCAATTGGACTGTAATTACTAATGTGCACAAATTCAACATGTCATCTTTTTTTCCTCTCCCAGGACCAGTCGGAATACAACGCTACCGCCATCCGGAGCCAGACCAACACGGTGGTCATCCGCAGCCTCAAGCCAGGCAGCATCTACGTGTTCCAGGTCCGGGCCCGCACCGTAGCCGGCTTTGGACGCTACAGTGGCAAACTGTACTTCCAGACCATGACTGAGGGTGAGAATTCAGCTAATGTTCCCCGGAGCACGCAGAGCTGTTAACGCCTCTCGTGCCCGGGCCCATCGACACGCCCTGTAGTGTAGCATGGATGCAGACAGCTGCGGGAATGAAAGGAAATCTTGTTGTGGCGTAAACAGTTACGGCACTCCAAAAGCAGACGAGTGGGAAACATCCCACGCATTATACTCGTAATTATGTCTTTATTCATATTTCAGCATTCATGATTTCTTTCCTTTCTGTGGTTCACAAATGTCCCATTTTCCGTTGCCAAAGAGCTGTTTGCTAGTTTGCCTTGAAGTCAAGGATGAGGTGGAACTTGTCTTGTCTTTGGTAGAAGAAGTAACATTCAGTAAACACCAGTCATGGAGGTTAATGTTAGAGCTAAGGCCTGGGTTTTCCCCCCCTCTGAACATCTCATTTCCTTCAGCCTGCAGCGCCCAGGGCCATCATTAGCCTGAACCTTTGTACCAACGTCCCCGATGCTGCCACATGCACAGATCCCAGCACCAAAGATACATCACAACTGACTCACAGCTGTAAATATTCAGTAAACCCACCGTGCATCAGGCTCAGTGTTTTCAGTTTGTGCCGATAATTGTTTCTTTTTTTAAAGAAAAGTAGACCAGTCCAGAGGGATTTTCACCTGGATGTGATGTGCCTATGCAGCCAAAAAGTAGTTTCCTGCTGAAAGAAGACACTGATTAGTTTGATGTAAACAATGCACCTTTGTAATGAGCACAGCTCTGAAAATGCTGACGTGAAGGAAGGAAAAAGTTAGCAGAAAGTGAAAATAAGTCCCTTTCACTAAAGTAAAAAAAAGAAAAGGTCAAACCAGTGTTTTCCAAACTTTTCTTTTGGGTACCCACTTTTTAAAAATGACAAACCATCGCGACCCAATTCATAATAGGCCTCATCTATACATTTTTTTATTATTGCCATTTACATTACTGTCTCTAATAAAATCACCTGTGGGCTGCAACCTAGTCTTTGGGAATTACTGGGTTGAACTACAGTCTTTGCACTATAATTACAAAAATAATCTGATTACAGTATTAAATGGATTTGTATGTTTTTTTTACCCAATGTTCACTGTTACTCATGACTCATGATTTCCCCTATTTCTTTTGAAGTACTGTGCTGCTGGTGCTTCAGGCCTGCAGTATTTCAGGGTTATAAACAGTACAGATGAACAGGCGTGTGATGAACCAACAGTCCTCAACAGAGCTTCGTGATTTGGTTGAAGACACTTTAATAGCACTATATCAATATTTCATGAATAATAATAAAATATATATTTACGTATTTGTCAAATACTAAGACTCTTTCTGTGGGCCCCTCAAGTGGGTTCTGGTGTATAAACAAATAGTAATTTAACATCGTAAAACACAGTTGTAATTGTATATAATAAGTCTTTAAAGGAAAACAACATTATTGAGTGTTCAAACACTGAATGTTCCTACCATGCTTATTTACACCATCCACAAGCACATAGAACCACGGGCATCTCACTGACCCGTATCTGGCAAACATTGTGCAGTCGTGTGTCATGTGCAGAGCTCAAGAGAAGAGCCTGGCTCTGCCTCCGTGTGCCCATTCAGTAGCTGGATTCTTGCTCTTGGCTGCCCGCTCAGTCTGGGTCTCACCCAAACATGCTCTCTCCGCTCACTTCACACGCTTTCTGCCAGATGATTTGTCCATATCCGCGGCGTCTGAGCACATTCATTGGGCTTTGGGAAAAAGGGTCCATGCTGCCAGTCAAGATGCCAAGATGATCAGTGGTTCATCCAGCCGTATGTCTGTCTGTCACACATTGCTCCCTCCTTATGGAGAGGCTCAGATGCTTCCCCATATGTTTCAGCGTGTGTGTGTGTGTGTGTGTGTGTGTGTGTGTGTGTGTGTGTGTGTGTGTGCGCGCATGGCACTTTGTTAATGTATGCGTTTATTTTGTCCTTTCTATAGAGGAATACAACACCAGTATTCAGGAGAAGCTACCGCTCATCATTGGCTCGGCAGCTGCCGGCCTGGTCTTCCTCATCGCTGTGGTCGTCCTCATCATCGTCTGTAACCGGTGAGTCAGTCCTGTCCCAGTCTTTTCAAAACGAGCCTTTGAGCCAATAAAGCAGCTGCACTAGCTGGTAGAGAGGACTCCTCTCACTCTTTAGCTGCTGTGCTTTTGTTCAGTGTAGTTGTAGGAGGTCTGTTGGCTTGCACTTTTGTATTCTTGTTTACAGTTTGCAGATGTTGCCTGCTTGAATGTGCATATTCAAAAGTTAAATGATTGTTCTTGTTGGTAGCTGTCAGTCTATTGCCATCCATCCTCCGAACATTGCTCTTGGAGCTGCGTGCAAGTCCACTGAGAGCAAAGAAGAAAGTCAAAATTCCTCGTATGTGTACACATTCTTGGCCAACAAAGCAGATTCTTATTAAAACTGTAGATGAGAGTTGTAGAGATGAAAGCATCTGGTTTCAAAGATATTCATTCTTAATAAATTCCAGTCTTTCAGCAGAAGAAATAATATCTAAAAGTCAACATTGCTAACATGGAAGTTCTGTAGGTGCTCCTGCTCAGCGGGTATCAAATGTGTGTAGCTCTGCCAAAGTCAGAGTTTCACTTCCCACCGGGGCCACTGCTATTAACAGCAGCGCAGCTCCTTTACAGTCTTCTGATTCACACAAGAGATTGTACCAGATGAATTTCTGACTACTAGCAGAACAGTAGATTTGTTTGGTGGACAGTAACGGCTTAATGACATAGGTTGTGCGCTGCATTGTGGGATCGTTTGGGAACGTCGCCAGGACAAAATGACAGAGTGTGTGATTGAGAGTTTTGAGAGCCAGTCGGACAGTCAAGGAAATAAAAAGCTCCTAATGCACTGTGATGGCCGTATCGCACAAGTTCAAAAGATATTTTAATATGTACTCGTCAGGCTGCTCGCCAGTTCAAGCTTAGCTGACAAATTGTGTATTTTACACATATTATTTTGACAGTAATGTTGCCAGACTGTACCACAATGCATCACACAAAATCCCATCCAAATGAAAACTGGTAATAATTACTTGCTCACCATGTTTAGTATGAATTTGTGAGATGTAACCAGTTGTTGTGCACCGGAAAGGAAAAAGGCATGTTTCTGTTGTGTGGCTGTCTTCCTTTTCCAACCAAGGAAAACAGAAGGATGCTTTTCCCGGCTCTCCATTTGATCCTTGTCGGTGTATCTTTAGTGTCGGTAGACCTGGGGGGCTGTTTGATCTGTGCTGCTGCCCCTCCCTGCTCTCTCTCTCTTTTTGAACCGGAGCTAGAGTTCTTTGTCTTTCCCCCCAGGAGGCGTGGCTTTGACCGGACTGACTCAGAGTACACAGACAAACTGCAGCACTACACCAGCGGCCACAGTGAGTAAACCACCACTCCCCTCCTCTCACCGCTGGCCCCTCCCCTCAGCATCACGCACACCTGTCTCCATAACGACCATCTCACACAGTTGTCTCCGCTGCCTCACACACCTGTCTCCATGGCTACCACCTTGCACGCTGGTGTCCTTGGCTACGGCCCAGCACAGCGCCCCCCCTACTTACTAGTAATCCTGCCTGTTGTCTGACTCTGCTCACTCGGAGCCTGGATTTAACCACATCAAAAACCAATGTTCAAGTGTGTGTTCTGTGCATCATCACATTTCATAGTCAACTAAATCCATTGTGGTGGAAATAGGTCAGTCGTCACTCCCGTTAACGGCATTAGCATGCTAATGCCACATGAGTCATTTGCCATTGTTAAAATATGTGAAAAGACTCAGTGGCTGAATGGAATCCCTCAATGATGTTCTGTCTTCTTAGAGTACAGTAGCGTGTAGAGAGATGAAATGACAATAATGCAGACATGAAGAGCAGAGGAGTCGTTTCACCGTGGCTCCGCCTAAGATATTAAAGCTAATCCATCTTTCTCCTCCATGATTGGAAGAAACGCAGATCCCACCTCAAGTTTATGACCCCTTGTTAATTTGTTTATTTCATTGCGTAATTACCACCCCGCTTCATCCTTTTTATGTTAATTCCCCTTCTAAAAAGGTGAGAGCTTCCCCAATAGAATCCCATCACGCTGTGCAAAGAAGTCCAGTCTGTGATCCGGTGAGACGTGTGCCAGTAAGACATTCTGCTATTTCACAGCTATTAGCATCCCGTCTCAGTTCAGGCTTCTGCCCTTGTGTTTGGTGGTCTTTGCCATCATATGAGGGTGGTCTGTTGAACAGTGCTTTGGCTTGGGAAGAGATTTTAGGGTTTTAGTAATGGGGGGGGGGGGGGGGGTGTTTGCCTGGTCAGATCCTCTCCATCAGTTTATCTCTGCGGCACGTTTCTTCAGCGTTAGCGTGTCAGGTTTTCAGACGGTGCGCATGCTCCTCTGGCTCTGCAGCAGCCTGGCCATGTGTTTAGTATCCATTGAAATGGCCTCAGGCCTGATGTGGAGGTGAGAGCTGAATAATCGGATTTAAAACTCAGGACACTTAAGTCCCCGAACACTTAAAGGCCACCTTAAGCCAATTTACCTGGCATCAGGGCTTAGCAGAGCCAATTTATTTCTTGGAGTGGAGCTGAGCGATGCTGATATAGGGTCCAGGATTCTCTCCTGAGTGTTAATGGCACTATGACTCACAGCAGACGATATATCTATATATATTAACGTGCCTTATCACAGCTAAGAACACTGCAGGTACCATGTCCTTGCTGGCTACACACAGTAGCCACGAGGCACTACTCACAACTGTAACCACACCACCTCCTCCTCCATCTCTCAACCTTCACCGTCTGAATGTCACACGAGAAAGTCACATAATTGTAACAGTAATGTGTGAATGCAAGGTGAATTGATTGTTAATGTGGCGGAATGCTTTGGACCGTCAAGCCCGCAGGAGTGTATATAAGCATGACCACAAAAAATCAAATATTACAGAGGCGCTTTCCTTTTTTCCAAGTGACTCCAGGAATGAAGATTTATATTGATCCGTTCACATATGAGGACCCCAACGAGGCTGTGAGGGAGTTTGCCAAGGAGATTGATATATCCTGTGTGAAGATTGAACAGGTCATTGGTGCAGGTAATGGAAAAATCTCAGCGAGACGTGGACGGAATGTAACACTGTAAAGTAGCTCGGGTCTTAGTTGATTTCTAAATGCAAATGGATGAACACAAACTGCTTATGGTACTCACTCATATCGCTTTGAATTGAACAGCACCATTGCTCTCCACAGGAGAATTCGGAGAGGTGTGCAGCGGTAACCTGAAGCTCCCAGGTAAAAGGGAGATGTTTGTGGCCATAAAGACCCTGAAGTCTGGCTACACTGAAAAGCAAAGGCGGGACTTCCTCAGCGAGGCCAGCATCATGGGCCAGTTCGACCACCCTAACATCATCCACCTGGAGGGCGTGGTCACCAAGAGCAGTCCTGTCATGATCACCACCGAGTTCATGGAGAACGGGTCTCTGGACTCCTTCCTCAGAGTGAGCAACCACATGTTTTGATAAGTCTCACCTAGAACACGACCTATTGTAGAAAACATCTTACAACCAATTCTGCAGTTTTAATTTGCGGTGGTCTACTAACAAGATCTGATTAAGAATAAACTCAAACTCATTTGGTTTCTTCGATAGAGTCTGAAGACTCTTTCAAAGTGCAATTTTGACATAAAAGAGATGAATTGTTCCACCAGAGCAGCACTTACCTTTAGTTATTAGGACAGCTGACAAACATGGATTCATCTCCTCGTTGCACACAGACACACTCTTGCGTATACACACACACATATTTGTCCCGTAATTTGACTTGGTTTATACACTCATGCACAGTAATCCCACTTCAAGGAAACATTATTCACAGAGTCTTGTCAATCATGAGTTCCTCAGAGGTGTTCTCGGTCTATGCAGTAATGCTTCTCTATTAACACTCAGATGTCTGTTATCCCCTTGTATTGATTTATTTCATGTTCTCTGTATATTTCATATTTTCATCCTCGTTTGCTCGTTAGAGTCCAGGACTTTATGATTCTCTTTGATGTTTCCCTTGTTTGTTTCCCTGCACATTTCGTCCACTGCTGATTATGCAGCACTGGATATGGATGCATGTAGGAAACACACACTCGTTTTCCCCCTGACAAGAAATATGCAGAGATCAGAAGTCCATAGGATTTTTAATTTTCCTAATCTAACCAGAGAGAGATATTACAGTGACGCCACCATGCTCCCCCCATTTATGACCCGCATAAATAATTTAAATAATTTAAAATGAGATGTCAGATGTTTAAAAATGAATCTGGCTATGAGATGAGATGTCACACGGCCTTTCACCATCCGTCTTGGGATGTTAGAGAAATATAAACTTTATTTTTTTTTTCTTATATGACTTGTTGGTATGCTTTCATGCTCACTAATTGCTCTCTTCACATGTTTGGAAGGAGCAGAAAAGGGCCTCTGATTTATGGGAATTGGGGATTTAGTATTTTTATTTCAACTGTAAATGATGTGAACTCTCTACTTAATGTGACAAGGAGAGTACTGCATGCCAGTGTAGTGCAGTGAGAATGCCACATTATAAATTAACTGAAGCCATTGGCTTTCCTGAAGTAAAAAAAAAAAAGAATGTTTTGCTGCATTATGAATTATAGTACAATAGAAAGTTCTTGATTTTGGCCACGTATGTAGCAGACAGTGAATAAGAACCATTACATTTCATGCGAATTACTGTTTTCAGGCGATTTAATGATGCTGTTCAGTTCTTCAATTACAGTCTCTACCTCTTTCAATGATTTCCCCCGGTTTAATACCCACCGTGATAGTCGGTTTAAGCCCTCTGCTGCAAGCCTACATCAAAACCATCCTCCAGAAGAAGACATGCAAGCTCCCGTCAGCACACTGTTCAGACTCTCTGTCATTATTTGCATTCTGCCTCCGACCTCAGAGACACAAAGCATCAGCTCTTTTTAGGAATTTGACGGTGAAGGGTGTTTGTGTATATGTAGATGTTTGCTAAGCATATTTGACAGCACATTGTATTCAAAACAACGGGGGAACCTCTGCGGCACCTCACGGTGACAGTTTATGACAACAATTGCTGACAGTGTCGAAGCCTCTGAACAGGGTTTGCGTCGTCTCTGAGGTGATTGGTGGGCGGTTGTTTAAAATGGTCACTCGAGTCTGTGCCTGAGCTGCCTGCCGAAGGATCGTCTCCCCCTGCTGCCTCCTGCAGAAAGACCTGCTGGGTACAAAGAGAATAGATCGATGGGAGCTGAACTGCTCTCTGGAACCGACGAGAAGCAGCGACAGAGAAATAGAGCTGCGGGTTCAAGCCCTTGTTCTATTCCCAAAATACAAAGGCAGAAGGAAGCGGCTTCACAAAGCTCCTTAAAGCTGGTTTAATTCTGTCTAAAGAAGGAGTGAGACCAGTCACAAACATGCTTCATCATCACAATGTATGAAATGTTTCAACAGCTTAATTAATAATATCCAGCAAGTTTGGAGATGTTTGGATATACTGTCACATATTTGTGGTTAAATTTGTGCCAGACCTAAGTACATGTTTGGAACGAGTGGCGGCCCCCTATTGAGAGATTTCAAAATAGTTTCACACACGTGGGTCAACGTTGTCATGAAACATATCCTGTTAGCTTTGGATTGATTGGACAAACAATTTATGATTTATAGTCTGTGTGTTGTGCCACACTAACGTTTTGTATCTGTTGCGCCCCTAGTGGTTTTGAATAAAACTCTCAGGGTTTTGTTTTGTGATGATTGGCCCAATGGTTGTATGACTTGACAAATCAAAAGCCATGAAAATCTTGTTTACGCCTTATTTACAAGTGTTTTTGCTCGTTAATTACAGCGCCACCACATGGCCGATTGGAGTCCTATTTCTTGCACATTATTTCCAGTTATTGGGCCAAGTTTCATGCCTTTAGCTCCTTCCAGCTCACGACAATTTGAGCCGCTGCAGAACACAACAAATAATAATGAAGCAACACAAATGCAATAGGGTTCTGCCTTTGGGGCTTAAACCCTAACGGAAGTCCGTCTTTGAAATAAAACACTATCGACATACAAATAAATCATGCTAGACCTGTATTCACACAGCTCTACAAATTCCTAGGGATTTTTTCTTCCACTTAACTTGACCTCAAAGACTTTGGAAAAATCTTTCCAATTAAAATAAATGCAAACACAGCACACAGATTACTCCAGGTTGCAATGTGTATTAGGGAGGACGGTTTGATGAATAATGCATTCTGCTTAATTGCTGCGTTACACGAGGAACAGCAGCTTGACGTGAGGAGAAGCATCCGTTCCGTTAATGAGCAGCAGAGCGTTTGAAGAGGAAATAGGCCGGTGGAGCGGTCGTGCACACCGTTCACATGGCTGTGCTCGGGGGCGCTGCTCGCCTGCCCTTCCACTTCCCTCTCGTGGCCGTTCCGTCTGTCTACACCCGACCCCCGAGCTCCAGAGCCCCGTTCTCTGGAATCCCGTGTTCTCCGGGCGTCGTGGTGGGTGGTGGGCAGACTGCAGGTGTGCACAGTTGGAGGCACAGCTGCACCACAGCTCCAGACGCTCCCCATGCATGGGGTAAAGCCCTCACCAAACCGTGGAGGGGGAACAGCTGTAGACATGCAGACCCAGCTTAGTCCTGCCGAGGCCAGTTGAGCCCAGCCCAAACCTGGCTGTTAGTGTCCTGCAGGGCCTCTTCACAGAAACTAATACTGCAAAGTAACCTTTCTACATCAGCCACACACACGGTTGGGTTACAAGCAGACATGTCGAAAAGAAAGATTTACAATTTGACAAAAAGGGAATAATTTTGTATTAATAATGGCGCCTTTTGTTAAGAGGGGGTGCATAGAGTTCTAAAGAATATTCACAAGAAAGAAAGTCATTACATTTTATTGAGTCAAACAAAGCCACTTTGTTAAATTTCATACGCCATATTTCTTTTGCCCGTCTGTGATGCCTTACACTATTGCGGAACACTATAAAGTCCACCGTTTGTGTGTCTTTTGACATAAACTAGAATATTAAATTGTATGCACATATTGTCAGGCGACCCAGTATTTGTAGGAGCACCTCCTCTTTTTGTAACACAATATGTCTGTTTTGCAGCAAAACGACGGGCAGTTCACGGTGATCCAGCTCGTCGGTATGCTGCGCGGCATCGCCTCGGGCATGAAATACCTGGCCGACATGAACTATGTGCACCGCGACCTCGCTGCCCGCAACATCCTGGTCAACAGCAACCTGGTGTGCAAGGTGTCCGACTTTGGTCTCTCGCGCTTCCTGGAGGACGATACATCGGACCCCACCTACACTAGCGCTCTGGTAAGAAACATCCGAGTCTCGCCTGACTACAACAGAGTCAAACAGCCTTCTCATATACGTTTGTTGAATTATGTTATGAATGACTAACTGCCCCGATTCAGAATGCCATTCATCTGACGTCCACCACAGTGCCCTCCCTATCGATACAAACATCATCCCTTCCTCCTCCTACTCCAGTATTTCATGTTCACCACTTTACTCTCAGGGGTTTTCGTTACATCCACCTCCCAGTTTGGATTACCGTCGTCATTGTTGCCGTGAACGGTGTTTCTCTCTCTCCGGAGCCGGGACACCGTGTCGGTCGGGTTTCGGTCTCGCTTCCCGCTCTTGAGGTTGTGCTCTTTGTGTTCGCAGGGAGGGAAGATTCCTATCCGATGGACTGCACCCGAAGCTATCCAGTACAGGAAGTTCACCTCCGCCAGTGACGTGTGGAGCTACGGGATCGTCATGTGGGAAGTCATGTCGTACGGAGAGAGGCCTTACTGGGACATGACCAATCAAGACGTATGTATTTACCTTGCCTTTAGTCATTTCGTTTTTAAAATTGCTGTTGGTTCTTCAGTCAAATCCCCCCCCCCCCTTAAACATTTTTTGAAACAAGGCCTCACGACACACATACATCATCTGCTGGCTGAGTTTCATTACAGCCTCAGACTCCTCAGAGAAACGGGTTGTCATTGTATCTGCTCTCCCGCAGCTAAACAGCAGCTTTCACTCATGGGTTTTATATGAAAATTCCCCCACACTCACCACAGAGACATAATCAGATCATTGGAAATGCACGGCAGTGCTCAGCGGACAATTTCTGCTCTTGACTGGAGCCTCCATTTCCTATCTCCCTCTGGGTAGCGCAGGAGAGAGCAAATTATGGGGAGAGAGATAATGAAAATAGTTTCAAATTGAAAGTGAGAACACTAATGTGCTGAGAGGGACCGAGGACCTCAACGGTTATCTTATTAGCAGCTCCAGATAGTGTTTCTGCTCCATCGGGGTCCCCGTTTGGAGGTCTCATGAATGAGATTAATCCGAGTCTGAATGGAGCTCCTTTAATGGCCCCGGTAATGAGCAGGGGATTGTGCGTCCTCCTCACAAGTGTCCTCCGGGTTGTTTCACTCTGTTAACGGTGCACCACCTCCGTGTGGCCCTCGACCAACAACATCACCGGTCCAAGCCGGCCACATTTTTAATGTGGCTTTGCACAGAGAGAGAGCATTAAATACTTTGTGAAGGCCAGACATGAGGTCACATCTGGCAGGAATGTGGAGTTGGTGGAATAAGGTTTATGTTCCTAATGACCTAACTGCTGTTTAACAACTCCACACAGGGAGAACTAACGCAGTGATTTGTGCACAAATAGATGCAGTTATACATTTATATATGTTTAAGTAATAACGTTAATTTAACAGTTTTGACTGTTCGGCGGTAACACACAGTAATGACTAAAGCAGTAGTTTCTACCACATGGTGAGAGGAACAGATGCTCCAGTTATAAGTTCATCAGACGACCGTTCACTCCATCACAGCATGTTTATTATATCCCCGTGACTTCTATACAAGAAGAGAGGATGTTTATCAATCGGACCGCTTGAGTTATGGCAAGAAACTCAGCATAGTTATTCATACTGTGTATATATGTACGTAGTTTGAGGTACCTGTACTTTACTTCAGTATTTACATTTCAGACGACACTTCTTTCTGACAGCTACAGTGAATTGTCTTTCAGGTTACGATTATAAAAACACTTAATTGTTAAAGATTAAACCAGTGGTTCTCAGTTATTTTTGGTTTGTGACTCTTTATAAAGTATCTTCGTGAGGCCCCTCGTCACATTCCACCCTCTAAACTTCTCACATGGTTCCAGTTTTACAAAGTAAAATTGTTCAATATTTCACAAATGTAAAAAAAAAACAGAGCCTAGATACGAGTCTCAGTATTAAACACTTTTTTTCTTACACATAAATCATCTCACGACCCCTCCGATTTATCTTGTGAACCTTTGGAGCAACCTAACTGTGTGTATAAAAGTGTATAAAAGTAGTTATAATGAGCTCCATCTAAAGCAGCTACTTCTGCATCAATTCATTACAATTAAAAAATTGTTGCAAATGCTTTTGTACTTTTTACTTCAGAAGGATTTAGAGTTGAGGACTGTATTTGTACTTTTACTGAAGTAAAGAACGAGTACTTCTTCCACCACTGGATCGTACAGTCTCTCTCCTCTTCATCAATCCGTCCCCTCTTTGTAGAGCCTCGTAGCAACCGTTAGAGATCTTTGTCTCCCCCTGCAGGTCATCAACGCCATAGAGCAGGACTACCGGCTGCCCCCGCCCATGGACTGTCCAAGCGCGCTGCACCAGCTCATGCTGGACTGCTGGCAGAAGGACCGCAACAACCGGCCCAAGTTCAGTCAGATCGTGAACAACCTCGACAAGATGATCCGCAATCCCAACACGCTGAAGGCCATGACCCCGTTATCTTCAGGGTGAGCGGCAGGCAGGCTGGTGATCAAATGTGTTGTCGTGTGATTTACTTGTGTTCGCTTTTTGTCCGTCGGCCTCACTCGTAGTCATAACACACGGTGCAGGCTAGTGTTAAAAAAGTGTGTTCTTCATTATCCCCCTGCTCTGTGTGCGAGATCGCCATGTGTGTTTTATCTCGTCTCCGCAAGACAGGCCTCTGGTTTTAGCATCATTTCACATTGATGTGGATAACATCTTGAACAATATAATGCATCTGATGCTCAATGTGAAGCCTTTCCTCTTCCTAACAGGAAATCCATGCTCCTGCCAAAAGTGTCATCTGTGACATGGTTGCCTCCCCCTCTACCCCTCCCCTCGATCGCAGTGTCTCTTGTTTCCCGTGGCGCCGAGCGGTTATGTAAATGAAAGCCTTTCGGTTCGATAGATCAAACCCTTTCCACGAATGCTTCGGGCGAAACCTGGATTTGAAGCAGTTGTGCGTTGCTCGAAAAACAAAACATTCTGCAGCGTTTCTGCTCTGGGTGTTAGTTTCCTTTGAGAGCGAGGGGCTTACTGATCTCCATTATCCCCCGTCTGTACTTTCATTTGTGGTGGCGGGCAGGACCGAGAGCCAGATTTTCCACAGACACTGAGTGGATATATTGGCTCCTTAAAGCCTATCACTTCATTTGGAAAACACACTTCATGAGGAATCCGTTTGGAAAATATTGGTTCATGGATGAGGCCAGTGGGATCCTCCGAGTTCTGTGCTTTTGAAAAATATAATGTAATAATTCACGATTGAATTACATGCAGGTGGTCCGGGGCTGTCTACGACTTGAAACCTGGCATTTTGTATTATCATTATTCTTAATGGCCCGTGCTTGTGTCCCCCCTCAGTGTTCACCTCCCTCTCCTGGACCGCAGCATCCCAGACTTCTCCAGCTTCAGCACTGTGGACGAGTGGCTGGATGCCATCAAGATGGGCCAGTACAAAGACAATTTCTCCGGCGCTGACTACTCCACATTTGATGTGGTGTCCCAGATGACCATGGAGTAAGTGCTGATCACTCCTGCCGTTCTGGCCCTGATAACTGCGAGGAAAACTATCGCATGATAGTTCGCCGAGTCTCGTTTATGTCCCTAAAACCTGAACAAGCACCAGACTCTGCCTCTGGCTTGTTATTAAAAGACGCTAGCTGCACTGCATGTAATTAGCGGATCGTAACGCTGCAGTTACGAGACTGAACAGCGGGCACAATAGCTCAAAGCCATAACATCGCCCTTTATTCTCTGCCATGTGTTCAGCAGGCCGCTCTCTGACCTCGGTTTAAGGATCGAGAGGAACCACCATGATATGCGGTCGGTTAGCCAAAATGCTCGGAGAACAATCCTCCTTTACACACACGAGATATAATCTTGTTAAGAGTGCCACCTGTAGAGAAACCGATAAAAATCATTTCCTGTCTCTGGATAAAAGAGATTAACCCGCGGAGATGTTGAGCTTCAATTCTTAGAACAAAACAGATTGTAATGTGTAATCCAACAAGCGTGATTACTGTTGAGATTCAGAGTTCGGAGAATAATGGATAAGAAAGCCGCCGCCTTGATACAGACGGGAAGTTGCTGTTTATATTTTCCGCTTTGATGTTGCGTCTACAACACACTCGAGTTAATGAGATGTGAATTTGTAATTCTTTGCTTTTGTTCTGGTGGTATAACATGGGGGGGGTTTACCGCATGAGTCAGTAGTCAGAAAAATACACTAAACTGGTAATCCAAACATTTTTCTGTGATTAGAAAAGCTTGCTGGCCTTATAGTCGGATGAACACGCAGCTGTTTCCTGCCCGTTACATTGCCGTCGTCTCCACTTTTCAGCTGCTCTCTCCCTTCTCGTCGTGCCGTCTGTTGCGATACGATGTTGATGATGGACAGAATGCATGGCTACTATACCGTAGATATATTCGGCATGAGTGTTTATAGTCTGTGGTAACACAAGCCTGACATCTGTCTCTCCTCACAGGGACATCCTCGGGGTCGGTGTGACATTAGCGGGCCATCAAAAGAAGATCCTCAACAGCGTCCAGATGATGCGTGCACAGATGAACCAGATCCAGTCAGTGGAGGTCTGACCCTCCATAGCGGAGCACAGGGGAGGGGGGGAGTGGTCAGGATGCAGGGCTCTGGCTGGCCGAGGACAGTGTGGATGCTTTTTGGTTTTTTTCTGCGTTACAGTGTATCTGGTCTTCCCACCAGACTACCATTCACCCCCCCGCCCCCCCCCCCCCCCCCCCCCCCCCCCCCCACCCCCCCCCCCCC